GCAAAATATCAGTGAAAATAATCGATCAAAAGAAAAAGAAAAATCTAGAACATGTAGCGACTTGTTCGAGGCCATAATCAAAACAAAGTGAATCTGATAGGCACGGAGAATCGCAATTCTTTTCGCCAACCTTCAATGCAAGTTTCGTCATTTTTATATAATACACGCACTTGCTCTGCAAATTGGCTTTCTTTTCAGCAAAAACTTACAACATACAATAAAACGCACTCAAACACGCACATAACGGTCAGAATTAGATTGGAACACAAGAAGCATGTCAGAATATTAGGAATCTAAAATTTCTACGAGATTTCAAGAAGGCAATATTATTTAAAATAACAGTGATGTCTAAAGATTATTAAAATTTATATGACTACTGGTTAAAATAAGAAAAACATTTTGGAAATTCTACAAACTTTAGGATGTATATTGAAATCTATTAGTTTAATTCAAATAATTAATATAACATAGCTACGGCCTCAGAATTGCAGAATTAACAGCAAGGCAAAAATGCCATTCAGTCCCGAAAGATGGTATTGGTGAATGTTATCCTCATCGACACTGGCTATGTAGTTTGGATAGGCACTCCAAGAGTTGAATTTAAAGTCAGATAGTGGACATACATCATTAAAACAGCTTGATGAAAAGAAATTCAATAAGGGTCCTACTAAAAAAAGATGATTCAGAGAAAATTGAAGGCAGAGGAAAAAAAAGATAGTATGTTTTGTAGGCACCTATTGACGCAATCAGCTGGAAAATCAAGGCAGATTGCCTGGAAAGTGACCCATAGGTGTTACATGTAAGAGAAGGATCTTCGGAAAAAGCGTAATTCTAGGCTTATTTTCCTCTTCTCACCCTCTCGTCACAAACAAAAAAATTAAATAAGTTTTAAGCGGAAAAAGTGATTGTGAGAAGCTCGGTAAGCAGATTTATTGACAGAGATCCCAAAAGGATATCACAACAACCGGCCAGTTAGCTTCTCAAGCGGTTTCGATTTAGCTACAGCCACTATGGCACATTCAAGATCAAGGGAACAGCTTTTAGCCCACACCCTTCCCTTGGTACATGCAGCCTAACCACAACAATTTCCAAACTAAATAACCAAATTTTCAATTCAAGATTTTGCACACAACAAATCGACAATTTCCTCAATCCCTAGAACAGAAACCGTTTTCACAATAACAAAATAATAATAAAAAAAACAACAACATCAAGTAGCCTCAGAATTGCAGAATAACAACAAGGCTTTATGAGCCATTCAGTCCCGAAAGATGGTGTTTGGTAACTGATATCGTCATCGGCTACATTTTGGTTTCGAAATAACACAGAGGTAATGGAAATATGTAAGAATAGAGAGACAGAGAAAGAAAGGCGGCACCAGAAAGAAACTAGGTTTAGAAGAACGTTTCCCATGCTATACCCATTGAAGCTGTGGTTTGGTATTCTTATTAGGGCTCTTTATAAATACAACACTTTGGTCATTTGGGCCTATGGGCCTCCATCTTTCTTGCCTTATTCTGCTCAAAAGTATCTGTTACTACATCTGTGATTTAATTAACAAAACTATTTTAAAAAACATTTTATATAAATACCTGTCAAAAATTGATTACATTAACATAAAAAAAAACTATATCTTTCTTAATTTGAATGTTTTTTATTTTTGGTAATCCCTTGGTTTGAAATTCATTGAAAAAAGATGGGATTAAGGTAACGGGTAGAAATAGATAAATAGATGAATATTTTTGAAGGATAAAATAAAACTTACTTAAAGTCTCTGATCTCCTAAAAATTGTGAACTAAACTAATTTTAATAAAGTCTCATCATTCCTGATTAAGACAGAGATTGGTAAGATTGATTTCAAATAATTAGTTGATGAATATTTTTCCTTTGATTTTTTTGTCATCCTTTTCTATTTGTTAATTTTTTAAATTGATTAAATAATAATTTTATCTTATTTACACTTGTTTAAATAAATTTCATCCTGAGAAATTATAGAATAAAATTAATAATTTAACAAGAATAAATTATTTATAAATTAAAAAAGATTTTCAACAAATTAATACAGGAGAAGTTTTACAAACTAATTTTACTTTATAATCAAAATAATTATGAAACCGTTATTCAAATATTTCTATAGTCATGCTATCGTAACATTTTTTTAATAGTAATTTTTTAGTAACATTCTAGAAAATGATTTGCACAGCACTTATATTATCCTATGGAATAAATAAATATAGGTTTAACACATTATATGCCTACTTTTAGGGATTCAAAATAATCAAAATTCAGACCTCATCGTTAAAAAATGTTAAATTCCACACATTAATGTGACACACATTAATGTGACACACGTTAATGTGGACTTAAATGATTTTTTAATTTTAAAAATGTTTAAAAAAGTCTCGGCTACGTCATCATTATCATCTCCACACAAACCCTAATTTCTTTCCAAGAAACCCTAGTCGCCGCACCATCCAGCGCCGTCACCGCCATCCTCGCCGGCAGCCGTCCTCTCTAACGCATCACATGCCACCACCAAAGCTATACGACGAGAACGCGAGAAACCCTAGGTCTCCACGATTTGCTTGCAGGTCTGATTGTGGTTGCAGGTGGAGGCAAACAGCGACGCGATTAGTGGTGGAGAAGAATGGTGATTTATGATCTGCAACAGCTGGTCGTTAGTGGTGAACGATTCTGTGGTGGAGACTGGACGGCAGTGTTGCTGGCACGACGACGATTTGGCTGGTGCGAGGGTGAAAATGGTGAAGATTGGTGGTCGCGGCATAATAAGGGATCGCATTGGGTGGTGGCGTGAGAACGAAGGTGAGATGCAGAGGTGATGGAGGTGCAATAAAAGGGAGAAGACGCCTTGGTGGTGACGCGTGATGTGTTGGAGAGGACGACTACCGGCGAGGATGGCGATGACGATGCTGGATGGTGCGGCGGCTAGAGTTTCTTGGAGATAATTTAGGGTTTGTCTGGAGATGATGACGATGACGTGGCACAAACTTTTTAAAACTTTTTTTAAATTAAAAAATCATTTAAGTTCACCTATTAACGTGTGCCACGTGCTTATGAGATGCCACAGTGGTTTTTAACGGCGTGAGCGGAAAGGACCAGATTGAACATTTTTTAACAAAATATGGGGTCTTACTGAACTTTTTTAAAATGTAGGATTAATTTGAAACAAACCCCTAAAAGTAGAGACCAAATGATTTATTAAACCTAAAAATAAAAAGTAAAAAGGGTAAATTTAGAATTTAAAAAAATTTGGAGAAGTGTAGGAAGAAGATGAGGTGGTGAAGGGAGCATCACTCTTGATTTTGTTTTGTTTTTCAAAAACAAGGTTTTTGTTAAAGATATGAGAGAAATTAATATCTACAACGCCTTCCTTTATATTATTGTTGTCAAAATGGATTGTAACTCACGAGTCAACCCGACTCACCACAAGTTTGAGCCGGGTTGGGTTTAAAAAAATGTTATTTTTTTATGTGGACTAGTTTTCAACTCGGCTCACTCAGAACATTATTTTGTGTTTCAATATTATTAGTTAATATTTTTTTATTATATTGTAGAAGATGATAAAGAAGAATATGTTTCAAGAGAGAAAAATATTATAGATTTATCTATTTAAGATTATAATATTATAAATGGACAAGTGATACAAAAATTATTAATATTAAAAACTTATTTATTCGCCTTTTGTCCATGCTTTTAGATTACGCTTGGATTGTTTGATACTTTTTTTTAATTGTTTTGGAGTTTAACATCATTTTAGTGTGACATTTATTTAGATTTGAATTTAAAAAAATTGTAATTTTTTTAGTTAAAAAAAACTTATAATTAAATGAGCTAGTGAGCCAACCCGTTTAACTCATCAATCCATGGTGGGTCAGACCGAGTTCGAATTTTTTCAGCTCGCTAATAAGTAAGTCAGGTTAGGTTGACTCATTAAGTAATCAACCCATGATGAGCCGGATCGAGTTAACCGTTTTGACCGCTGTAGTTTCTATAGTCAAAAGTACAAAAATATTTCAAAACCTTAACCTTATTTCTAAACTATGCATTTTAAAATCTTAGTAAAAGTCAACAAACTAATCTTCAATATGTGTTAGCCATTTGTTTGAATAAGTTAAAAATGTTAAAAGAAATTATAGTAATAAAAGCAATGAAGGAAATGCATGCAATACCTGCAAAATATACTTACATAATGTGAAATTATTTTGTGTGGAGGGAAATTCAAACCAATGTCAACTCAACTTTATGACAAAGGAAAAGTAGGGACAGAAAAACAAAGTTTCACTTTAAACTTATGTAATATAACAATAACATGTAAATTAAAAGAGGAAAAAAAACTGAATATAGTAAAATCTATCATCATCTATCATTTACCTGACAAACATCTACATGAAATGTATGTTATGATTATCTTACCAAAAGAAATATTAATCAATCCTCAAACATAAGTTTTTCTATATGCATAAATTACATTCATATATAGTTTATGTATATGCCATAAGTTATATCAGTGAGTTAAATAAAGACTATGAAGTTCTTGCTAGCAAGTAACTGAACCCTCCTGCTGGAAATTTAAGGTCATTCTCATATGCAGTCTCCTCATAAAAAGAATTTTTTGATCGGGCAAGACGCTTCACACAATTCAAACGCAATGATTTTACTGTGCNTTATGAAACCGTTATTCAAATATTTCTATAGTCATGCTATCGTAACATTTTTTTAATAGTAATTTTTTAGTAACATTCTAGAAAATGATTTGCACTGCACTTATATTATCCTATGGAATAAATAAATATAGGTTTAATACATCATATCCTTACTTTTAGTAAGACTCCATATTTCGTTAAAAAAGTTTAATCTGGTTATTTTTGCTTACGCGTTACAAATGTCACCATGGTATTTCATAAGCGTGTGACACATGTTAATAGGTGGACTTAAATGATTTTTTAATTTAAAAAAAGTTTAAAAAAGTCTTTACCATGTCATCATCACTATTTCCAAACAAACCCTAATTTCTTTCCAAGAAACCCTAGTCGTCGCACCATCTAGCGCCGTTACTGCCATCCTCGTACGTCCTCTCCAACGCATCACATGCCACCACCAAAGCTATACGATGAGAACACGAGAAACCTTAGGTCTCCACGATTTGCTTTCAGGTTTGATTGTGGTTGCAGGTGGAGGCAAGCAGTGGCGCGATTAGTAGTAGAGAAGAGTGGCGATTTGCGATCTGCAGCAGCTGGTGGTTAGTGGTGGACGATTATGTGGTGGAGATTGGACGGTAGTGTTGCTGGCGCTACGACGATTTGGCTGATGCGAGGGTGAACAAGGTGAAGATTGGTGGTCGTGGCATAACAAGGGATCGCATTGGGTCGTGACGCGAGAACGAAGGTGAGATGTAGAGGTGATGGAGGTGCAACAAAAGGGAGAAGACGCTTTGGTTGTGGCGTGTGATGTGTTGGAGAGGACGACTGCAGGCGAGGATGGCGATGACGACGCTGGATGGTGCGGCGGCTAGGGTTTCTTGGAGATAATTTAGGGTTTGTCAGGAGATGATGACGATGACGTGGCACAAACTTTTTAAAACTTTTTTTTAAATTAAAAAATCATTTAAGTCCACCTATTAAGGTGTGCCAGGTGGCATTTGCACTGTTATGTTTTTAACGGCGTCATTTCAATTTGACGGAAAGGTCCTATTTGATTCAATTTTACAAAAATAAGGACTCAATTGAGATGCCGAAAAAGAAAGGAACCTATTTCAAATTCTGGGTGAAAATAGGGACCTATTGAGACATTAAACCCTCTTGATTTTGTTTTTCAAAAACAAGGTTTTTGTAAAAATATGAGAGAAATTAATATCTACAACGCCTTCGTTTATATTAGTGTTGTCAAGATGGATTGTAACTCGCGAGCCAGCCCGACTAACCACGAGTTTGAGCCGGGTTGAGTTTGAAAAAAATGTTACTTTTTTATGTGGGCTAGTTTTCAACTCGGCTTACTCAGAACATTATTTTGTGTTTCAATATTATTAGTTAACATTTTTTTTATTATATTGTAGATGATGATAAAGAAAAAGATGTTTCAAGAGAGAAAAATATTATAGATTTATCTATTTAAGATTATAATATTATAAATGGACAAGTAATACAAAAGTTATCAATATTAAAAATTTATTTGTTCGCCTTTTGTCTATGCTTTTGGATTACGCTTGGATTGTTTCATACTTTTTTTTAATTGTTTTGGAGTTTAATATTGTGACGTTTATTTAGATTTGAATTTAAAAAAATT